CACCCCCTCCATTCTACAATTTTACCATTTTCGTCAGAAAATCCACGCCATCCATTTTACATTAAATTTACGAAATCAATGTAAAACTGGGTGGGGGGGCAAGCAAATTGAGTTAGGCGTGTGGGTTGTTCCGGGTATTCGGTTTTAGGGTCAAGGGGTGTACGGTTTAGGATGCATGTCAACCTGATACTGATGACTTACGAGCATGCAAGCCCTGACCACAATTTCCAGCTCCAAAGACAAGGACCCTAAACCCTAAACCCGAAACCCTAAACCCTAAATCCTAAACCCTAAAACCTAAACCCTAAACCCTAAAACCTAAACACACAATTTCCAGCTCCAAGGACAAAGACGCCCTCCAAGAAGGACTTTCAGCCATCCACGACAGGATCCCGGCTCAGGCACCGCGGTTTAGGGTTTAGGGTTTAGGGTTTAAGGTTTAGGGTTTAGGGTTTAGGGTTTAGGGTTTAAGGTTTAGGGTTTAGGGTTTAGGGTTGTAGTGCTTGCGGTTTGTGATTTCGTGTTTAGTACTTCGTACTTAGAAGTTCAGGGTATTCATTACCTACTTCCAATCGTGTTCAGAGGCCAGTTGTAAGCCCTTAAGACCCGTCACATGGGCTACATGTAGACGGGGCTCCGCCGGGCTTCAGTTTTGGGGCTCTATGCGTGGGAACATGAGGCTTGACTCTCGTAGTGGGAGGATGATTTTGGAAAGTTGGAAGGCATAATGATTAGGGCCTTAGGGTTTAGGATTCAGGGCTTCGGGCTTAGGGGGTTAGCGTTTAAGGCTCAGGGTTTAGGGTTCAGGGTAGGAACCATGGATCAGCTTTATGCTAGGCGCCGCCGCGAGGGATGCCTTCGTCTCTCCTTCCAGGGGACCAGCTAGCTTGTCAGGTATATATGGGGGCTGCGTATATATGATGCCTAAATTATGGGCATAACTCAAGAAGAAGGCACGGATCCAGCTTGTTTTATATCGTGTCTCTCTCGCTCCGTCCCTCCCTCCCTCTCCCTTGGTCTCTCTCTCTCTCTCTCTTTTGCTTTTGCGGGCCGGCCTAAAATTCACTCGGAGTGCAGCAGTGTAGCAGGAGGATGTTTTCCATGTTCCTTCAGAAATTCTGAGCAAGCCAATATAATTCCTAAAGGTTTGATCTTCAATTTCGTGCAAATCCTGAAGCCTTAAGGTTGCGAAGCTGCTGAGAAAAGTGAAGAGCCCCTCTCCAAATCCATCCCTGCGCTTCAAAAAGCCAAGCCCTCCAAACCACAATCGCACAACCCCGGGTCGCAGAGCCCTGAGTAAGGGGTTACAATAATACCCCCCCCCCCCCCAAGGTACACCCCCAGGGTTTAAGGAGCTAATAAGGACTGGTGAGGCCGAATATTCTAATGGGGTTCTAAATCTGGGGGGAGGGGGGAGCATTATAATCTCAATCTCTAACTGAGCGCTAAATCCTCATTCTGACGCCCTAAAATCCCTCCACCCTAAACCCCAAACCTTTGACCCCTTAGTACCTGACCTAAACCTTAGAAACCCTGCCTGACACCAGCATTTCGAGGGCGAAATCCTTGGGTGCACGCCGGAGTGAACGAGTGGACAAAGAGGAGGAGTCCCTCGGCAAGAGTTTAGGGATCAGGGTTTAGGGTTAAGGGTTAAGGGTTTGGGAGGGGGTAGTACTTGGAGGGTCAGGGGGGCTTAACCTGCAGGTATGTTTAGAATGAAGATAACTTATTATGTGGATTATGGGGTTCTTAACTTAATTAGTAAGTCCCCTGCCCCTCCAAGTGCTGCAAACCCCCCTGCTCCCCTTCCCCCAAATAAGGCATCTGTAAGCCCCAAGCCCCGATTAGGCTTCTTTTGAGGGGGCGGTCGTATAGGATTCCATACAGAGAACCTTTACTAGGGAATCCTGGCGCTGCTGCAATCTGTGTGCTCAAGCTAGTCAAATCTCCTTGGGGCTTGATGTGCACTCTTGCACGAGGCAATTCAAGGAGCATGCAGTCCCAAGTTCTCTTCAGCACAAGGCATCACACCAAGAACGCATAGCTCGATAGGTGGCATTGCTTTGAAGATGGAGCCGCCCGAGCGTCTTACAATGCATGGTCTTGTTTTTCCTGCGGTCGTGATTGCCATCGTGAGCGCGCATTGGCAGATTCTAGGAGAACACACCGTGAAGGGCCTTAAAGCAGCATGCGCTAGTTTACCCACGCCGCAAGAAGACCAAGAAAGCCTTTCCGGCGCACGTGTACTTGAAAGGCTTGTGAAGATCAGAATATCCAACTACAAAACGATGTCTCTGTTTGGCCTGCACATGATGTTGCTCCTCGGTTTGGACTTCACATCCCGATTTCTTCGACAACCCAGGGTTGCATCTGCGTTGCCGATCCTACCGCTACTACTAGCGTATCTGTTCGATGCAAATGTGGCCAGCGGCAAGGTACAGCTTACAAGCAGCAGGATGACGACTTTGAGTTTCCTTGGTTGCGGCTTTTCTTTCGTCCATTCGCTTGCAAGCTTCACAAGCTACACCAGCGCCACGGATCACTTAACAGCTATCAGCGTCAGTGCAGTGGGTCATATGCTTACTGGACTGGTCTTCCTGAATGCTCGGCTGTGGGTTCCATCCACGATTATGTTATCCGTCATTCAACTTGCCTTCTTTGCGTACAACTTTGGCCATGAGGAGATCAGCCCAATATTGCTTCTCAACCATTTTGCGCAGTCACTGATTTGCTGCAGTGTGCCTGTGGGAGTGGAAATCGGCATTCGCGCTCACCTCAGGTCCCAAGTGGATGCTCGGTCCCATGAATTTAGATCCCTAAAGTTTGGGGTTTAGGGTTTAGGGTTTATAGGGGTCATACGGATTATGATAGGGATCCTACTATTTAGGCCCTTAAAAGGAAGGGGTTTATTAATCATGGGTCTACATTATGTACCTTCACTGTTTTTCCCCTCACGATGTTAAGGTTGAGGGGTTAGCTATGTCGTGCCCTTCACGATGTACCCTCATTATCCTTTGTCCCAGGCCTCCCCTTGCGAATGTAGTTACTCAACACTAGAATCAGCAGTATTCTGAGGGGATAGCTAGTCCTGTCCCCCTAAAAATAACGCCTCCCCCTAAACCCTAAACCGAGTTTAAAACCGCCCCGGAGCATATATTATGAGGGGTTTTGTTGCGAAGAAGTATAGGGAATCCAATTAGATCCGATTAACGCAAATAAATGATTTAAGCCAAGTTAAAACTAGGTTAAGAAGGTCCTAAGAAGAACAGATAAAGATGGCTTAAAGTCTAATGAAAGCCAGTTGGAAGCTTTTTGAAAAGTCCATTGAACATCAATAATAGGTTCAATTGAGATCTAACTAAAACCAACTGAAACCCAATTAACACTCTATCAAAATTATAAAGTTTTCAACATGAGAAACCCATTAAAAATCTACGGGAAACCTGATACTAGAAATCAATTTGGAACCTATCAAACATCGAGTTAAAAGACGAGTTGATGTCAAGATACTTGCGGCGACAGTGTACTTTATGCCTGTCATGTATGTTTATGTTGAGGTGGTAACTGCACAGACTCCGCTACAGAATTCCGCAAAGCAATGGCGCAGCCGTGGCACCACCCGCCCCCAAACCCTAAAACCATACTCCAAACTTCAAACCCTAAATCCTAAAACCCCTAAACCAAACCCTAAAGCCTAAACCTGTATGGCCCAAGCCATAGCACAGTATTGACTATCTGCATAGCGAAATCCTATCACCCATAAAGCTCCACTCCTACCTCCACAGTCTAGGGTTTAGGGTTCAGGATTTAGGGTTTAGGGTTTCTGGTTTAGAGTTCAGGATTTAGGGTTCAGGGTTTAGGGTTCAGGGTTTAGGATTTCTGGTTTAGGATTTAGGGTTCAGGATTTAGTGTTCAGTGTGAAAAGGGAGCGTGGCTGTGCTTGACTGTGAGGGTCATATCACAAGAAACCAAGATTCTGACCTCGTGCAGTTGAACACGTAATGCACTCAATGGAAATCGCATTCAGATGTTGAAAAATGCTTTCTGTAAAGCCCTAAACCCTCCCTAAACCCTAAAATAAACACCCGGGAAATCAAGCGAATCCTTCATTCCCTTGCATTCCGTATGGGAACCCCCCCCAAATAGTCCCTTCCCCCAATATTAACCCCCCCTGATATAAAATACAGGTTCCCCTGAAATTTGCCCCCAAGACTACTTGAAAAGGATTACGCCTTTGGATGGATTTCAAATAGATTCTATTTGGATTTTCATTAGGTTTCAACGGCTTGTACATTGACTTTAATCGGTCTTACTTCGCTTTTGTTGCGGCTTGGGCTAGATTTAATCAGCTCTTATGGCTTTTTCCTGGATTGAAACGATTTTTATTCCTTTAAACTAGATTCTAGATTTCAATAGGATCCTTTTATCTACCCCCTAATGTGCGGGTTGTACAATAAATGCATCCCCCCCTAATATGAAATACGGTTGCTTTATTCGATTCTTTTTACTCAGATTTCAATAGGATCCTTTTATGTACCCTCTAATGTTCGGGTTGTACGATACACGTACCCCCCTAATGTGAAACACAGTTCGGAGGGGGCGTGCTCTTTCAGGGGAAGGATTAATGTCAGAACCCCCGCCGGGCTTCATCATTTCTGAGGTCCCTGTTAAAAGTCGTTTTGGCTGTAAGAGAAAGTAGTCTTCCGCCGGAATTGGGGATTCTCTCGGAGGAGTCTGTGGTTTCTGAGTACGGGAAAGGATTAAGTTTCATGGGTTCCCCTTGTACCCCCCTCTATACTACCCCCCCTTGGCTCCCCCCTCCATGAAGGTTCTCTAAGGATAATGAGGCCTTGTTAAGGTGAATCAAGGGGGAACCTCGGGGGGTAGTCTGGGGGCTAGTAGGGAACCCTAAACCCTAAACCCCTAAACCCTAAACCCATGAAAGTTGTAGCTGGCCCTAGGACAAGGAGGATGATAGAACAATGATGGCAGGCGTCCAGAAGATTTTAAAAGGACTCTGTGACTAGGTACGCCAGTAGTCCTTTTTTTCTCTTTTTATGTAGGGGTCTCCTTACTAAAGCTGAATGTTAGGAAAGAGGGTACTCTTATCATTTGGGGGTTACTGGGGAACCTAGGTGACGGCAGCCTCGTCTTGGACTCCAAGATGATCGTGCGTGGTTCTTCATCTTGCCTCCAGCGCCTACTCTCCACCCAGAACAATTTTGAGGGGACTGACTTCAGCTCACTCATTGACTGCCACGACAGCAAGAAGAAGTTTGACACCCTTGTAAGAACATCCGTGAGATCACAAGCCAATGATGCAGAGGCTGCTCCACCCTCATGCTTACGGGTCAGCTTGTCAGATGGCACACAGCGTGTGCCAGTGGATGTCTTCCACGCGGTTTTGCCAGGCCTCTTTGGTGCCGAGGAGCCACATCACATCCTTGCATTGGTGGAGGACACTGCTAGCCGCGAGGCTCCCCTTGCCAAGCATGGTTTCCCAGAGTGGCATCAAATCCCTGAGATGAACAAGGCGAGGCGCTGGCCCTTTTCGTTGCCGAGCGAGTCCGCAGGCTCTTCAAGTCGGTCAGAAGCCGCCTCAACCGCACATGCGCGAAGCAATGAGATCTTGGAGGTCTTGCAGGACTTGGCCGAAGCCACCTTTCTTGTCGACCCCTGCTCCCCAGATGTAGACCTCTTGGAGGCTCACCTGAGGTTCGACAGAAGGCTCCCTACACGGCAGCCACCTTCGATGAGGATGCTCAGCAAGATTAACGAGTGGGATGACTTTCAGGGGTTGCTGAGGGCCTACGCCATGAGTGTGCTGCAGGGGGCCCCCGACTTGCCAGTTGCGCTGCGGGCCATGCAGGTACGAATTCCTGGGGCTCCCCGGAAGTTGCTCAAGGCCAGGCAGGTTCGACTGAGCCTTGCAAATCGCAGCCGGGAATTTGGGCAGCCGATCTTCCTTTACCTTCACTTGAAGAATTTCAACAAGAAGGAGGCGTGGCCCAACCCTAAATCCTAAACCCTAAACCCTAAACCCTAAACCCCTAAACCCCTAAACCCTAAACCAGGCGTGGCCAAGTTATGTTACCGGCCTGCAGCACGAAGCGCTCGTGGAGCGGCCGGACGACGATTCCAGCGAGGACCAAGAGGTGTTGCCAGATGACGCTTTGAGTCTAGGTTGCTGTTAAGGAACTTGAATTAAGTTACCATAATGGGTATGTATATACATATATATATATATAGAGTGATTATGATTAATATGTTTCCCCAATATAGTAACTTGAATCAAGTTCAAAGAGTTTTTTTAAATAAAACTCCTCTTTTAACTTCTTTAACAGCAGCCCAGGAGTGAGGCCGCAGGGGCTGGCAGCGCAGAGGGTTTTGTACAGGTCGCCGTTCCGCCGCAATGTCTACCAGCAGGTCTTTCCGTTGAAGGTCCTATTTACCATCTCTGAGCCTTTGGATTCCTGGGGTTTGGGCTTAGGGCGTAGGGTTTAGGGTTTAGGATTTAGGGGTTTAGGGTTTAGGGGTTAGGATTTAGGGTTTTAGGGTTTAGGGTTTAGGGCTTAGGGCTGCAGCCATGCATGATGGAGAGAGTTTTGCTGTTCCGAGAGGACGCCGCCAAAATTCCGATGCTCAACTTAGAGGGTCAGGATGACATACCTTTACCCCAAAAAGTATGTAAAATACTGGCCTTTATGGCTGTTATTACGGGTTTAGGGCTATTATTTAACATACTTTTGGGGTTTAGGTAGTAAGTAGGTTGTAGTAAGTAGGTTGATGTTGGCCTTAACGAGGGTTATTATATGGATTAAAGTGGTTTTCCACCTGCCTGACGGTTTAGGGTTAGGATTACTACAAAGTCCGAGTGACCCTCCATGTATTGCACATGGAGGAAATCTTGCACCACCTGATATTCCCAACACCCCAATACCCCTATCCCCTTAGGAACTATTTCGAATTGTTATTGTGCTATAACCCTAAGGAACTACTAAGCGCATGTTTTATGTCTAAAGGGTTTACAAACCCTAAACCCTAAACCCTAAAAACTCCTAAAAAGCATCTTGGGCAGTGGTGCACGATTCCCAGCATCCTCCGTAGCTCTCAAAAACTGCGCCAGCTCCACCCGGCGGTCATCGTCAAGGATCTTTTGCACTTCTGATGGTAGATTAGGGGTTTAGGGTTTAGGGTTTAGGGTTTATTATTTCATTAGTACTACTGTTATGGGTATATCATTTTGGTTCTTAGCATTATTGCTGTTATTATTCGAGGCCAAGATATCCACAAACCCCAGCTTGACATACTTGAGATATGAAGCTATCGACCATTATTACTTGGGTTGCTTCTGCAGGTCCAAACCTTTCAACCCTAGACCCTAAGCCCTAATCCCTGCCCTGAACCCTAACTTTGAGATGACATCAGGCCGGAAGGCAACTATTGCGCCGCTATCGTCCTTAACTGTTAGCTCCCTGAAGCCTCCCCAGTTTCCGCAAGCATTCAAAACGGGGACCATAATTTTGACAACCCGCTATATTTGCCAGATCGCATCCTTCGCGTTAATATTTGAGGCATGCAAAAGCCCACAATGTAATTCTGAAGCCCCAATACCACACGCCCTGTACCACACACCCAAACCCCTGACCATTTACCCCAACAAACATGAACTCTGAAACCTAGCTTCTACATCCTAAATCCTAAAACCAAGCCCAACACTAAACCCTAAACCCTAAACCCCAAACCTAAACCAAGAAGTTGTAGTTTCCCAAAATCGGGGGACCCCAATATAGACCCCAAAATACTATAGTCCTTGTTGTGGGGACCTTCAAAAAAGTACCCCTAAATTTTGGGAATCTCCCAAGTCCTGCACGCAACAAGCATGGCGCGCTTAGGTATCAGAAGGAGGCAAGAAGCTCGCCAGAGGAGCTGGGAGCTTCAGGTTAACGCGGCTTAGGGCTTAGGGTTTTACGGCTTAGGGTTTAGGGCTTAGGGTTTAGTGGGGTTTAGGGCTGAGGGTATAGGATTGATTTTGTTTTGAGGCTTGGGGTGTTGGGCCAAGGTTTTCTTCCCAAATAAGGTATAGAAAGCCCGCCAATCCTGAATCATGCCTTTTGTGTGTCCATCTGTGTGTGTGTGTGTGTGTGGTGGGGGCTATAGTAGCCCCATGAGTTCCGGTGTTGTTTCTTTGTTGCTTTCCTGCTTGGGTTTCGATTCTGGGCCTGCTGTTCAGCTGAAGTTGAGCTGCTTTTGAGAACATGAGCTTGGAGGGTCAGGTGGGCTCGGTATAGGAACCTCTGTCATCGTACTCCACAATTACAGCAGCCCTAGTTACCCCGACTAACCTACGTACTAAGTCCTCCTGACCCTAAGCCCCAAATCCTAAACCCTACATCCTACACCTTAAACCCTACAACCCTAAGCCCCAAATGCTAAATCCTAAGCCCTAAACCATAAAACCATTGTAGTTTCCATCCTATTCTATTCCTTATTAAGCCTCCCCTGACCATCCCAGAAGGGATCCGCTAAACCTTACACCGTCTTGCTTTCATGGGTTCCCCTACTACCCCCGATACTGCTCCCCCCCAGGTTACCCATTCATTAGCCTTCTGATTACTCGTAAATGACCTTAAACCCTACACGCTCGCTAAACCCTGAACCTTACACCCTCAGCCCTAAACCCTAAACCCTAAACCCTACACCCTACACCCTACACCCTAATGAAGGGGAAGGGGGGGTTGCAAAGAGATGACTAGTAGGGGAGCCCATGTTGTTCGGGGTTCAGCTTGTAGTCATTGCCAAAGATGTGCACCTGCCGTCCATAAGCCCTAGACCCTAAACCCTAAACCCCACCCCCTAAACCCCAAACCTTAAACCCTAAACACTAAGCCTCGTGTAACTTCGTGTTGATCCTACAAGTTCAAAGTTGCTTAGCCTCCAAATGCAAAGCCATACAGCAGCTCTGACAGCTGGACTCAGCACCGCCAGCTTCAAAGACGATTGAGGGTTAAGGGTTTAGGGTTTAGGGTTAAGGGTTTAGGGTTTAGGGTTTAGGGTTAGGTGGACCGCCCACCCTGTAATAGTGGCTATAAGGGATAATAAGGATTATATTAGGGTCCTATTATATTCTTATTATGCCACTATTACAGGGTGGGGGGTCCTCCTATTTCAAGGGTTAAGGTTGACCGTAGGGTTTAGGGTTAGGGTTTAGAGTTTAGGGGTTTAGGGTTAAGGGTTTAGGGTTGACTCTAGGGTTCAGGGTTTAGGGTGTTGAGTAGTTTTAACAGCCGTAATAGCCGGCCCCAGGATTTTTTTTGATAGATTTCGAATCATTTAATTACAATTCTACTCAAGGTTTGAATGAGAGTCTAATAGGTTTTGTTGCGATTTCAACTAGGCTTTGATGAGCTTAGCGAGTTTTAGTCAACTTCTAATTTATCTTGATTTTATGTGGACTCTAGTGGTGTTCACTAAATTGCTATTCTGATTGTGATTGGGCTTTGTTTCATGTAGCTGCGAGTTCAACTGGTTTTTAGAGGATTTTGTTTCGAAATTGAACAATTTTGATTCTAGTTAGATCTTAATTGTTTGAAATAAGCTGTAATTGGGCCTCAATACTTCTGTGCAACAACCCTCCCACCATGAACAATGCTCCGGGCTGGCTTTTATCTAGGGATGGGTGGAGACGTATATTGTTAGGGGAAAGGCATTAGCTTCCAGCCGAACGTTCGATAGTTAAAACCATGTCGTGGAGCAGAAGCAGTAGTACTTGTCCGAGGAGTACTGATAGTTAGTAGTAGGAGGGTGGGAAGGTTTCTTGTCAGCCTGTACCAAGAACACTATGCCTTCTACCTGTGCTTCCGTCGCGAAGCTAAGTTTCCAATGAAGTTTGCCTGATGCTGCTAGACGGGCTTTAAACCTTAAACTGAGTCACCACATCAAGAAAATTCATATGAGCCATAGTCTAAATTCCTAGTATCCCCCTTAATAAGCCCTATAGTAGTTTTCTATATAATCCCTACTAACAAGGAGTTTAGATTAAACCCTAAACCCTAAACCCTAGGAGTTTAGATTATAGCTCATATGTGCAGTGTCTTGTAGGAGCCATAAGTGCAAGTCTTGCCTTGCATGGTCTCTTTCGCAGCCACTTCCTTGAGCACAGGGAGGTTTAGGGTTTAGGGTTTAGGGTTTAGGGCCATTACAGGCTCACGGAACTTTAATTCCCCAGCCCTCCCCCCCCCCCCGAACCCTAAGGCTCCTCACCCAGAAGGGCTATGGCCTAAAACCTTATCCCTGAACCCACCCCAATCACTGGCAAGGAGTCTGGTCTTCCTCGGAAACGGGAGCCTGTGCAGAGGGCTTCTGGGCATCAATCGAGCAGGGGATTGGAGTTTAGGGCTTAAGGTTTAGGGTGTAGGGTCGCAGGGGTTAGGCCTAAGGATTTTAGGGGTTAGGACTGGCCTGGACCTAAAAGTAGGTAACATAGTGGCTCAAAACCTCCCAAACCAACCCACAAGGCCATTATCCTGCCAACTTTCGGGTTGAGGGCCTAGGGTCTAGGGTTAACTGATTGGCTGATTGGAGCGGGGTATTAAGGAGTGATAATCGACGCAGTATTTGGGTAGTTCCCAAAATTAGGGTCCCATTTTGGTACCCCTGAATATTAGGTGCTGTAATATATCCTGTAACCAAAAAGGGCTCATAATTTTGAGAACAGCCCTTTCATAAAAAAGGGGATGCTATAGTCTCCAAGAGAGAGGGAGAGAGTAAGATGACAGAAAATTAGTTCAAGAATATGGAGAATATGTTTTTGGTTCAAATCTACCAGCACATGCATCAATTGACAGTGTAGGGTGTAGTGCATATGGGGAAAAAGCGTTTGGGGCAAGTGTGCATTGTAGGCGTTAGACATTTAGGGTTTAGAGCTCCGGGTTTAGGGTTTAGAGCTTTGGGAAAGACTTTGTGAAGAATATTTGAATGCGCCCCAGTGGGCGTGAATATTGTCTCAATGAAAAAGAACGCAGGGTTCGGTACAGGGCTGCGGAATCCAGGGTTACAGCAAGAGTCGTGGTTCTAACAAGGTGGTGCTTCAGCGGAGTGATTGTCATAGGGAAACGTGAGAAGAGTGATCCCCCTAAAACCTAAAGTCTAAACCCTAATGCAACCCTAAACCCT